CAGGAATTTTCCTCCTGTCTCCATCTCTATCAACAATTTTGCTTATTCTTACGGTTTCCAGATAAAACCTTTACCAATGGTATGCTGATACTTCAACACTTTGGATATTATCAAAAGCATAATTAGAAGGAAAAGGGTCGATGACGTGAAAGCGAAAGAACAAATTTACCGTAATTGTTACTTTGTTGCACTTTCGTTTTGAAAAAAAAGTTAATTTTTAAAGACCGTTTTCTCCCATCTCCTTATTTCTTCCTTTGCATCAAATATGCGCCATCAACAAGAAGAGAGACTTAAGTGGGTGCGGATGAACGCACAAAAACGGTTGCAGAATATATGCTTAAGTCTTTCTCCAGAAAACAAAAGCCTGATTTCAAGATTCTAGGAACCAGTTTAATGCGTCAGAAATACGAATCACATTTGTTCGAGGATCGAAACAACGACTTTTGAATAACTTTCACTGAATGAAAACTAAATCGCCTTTTGTTCATGAATCCGTCAAATTGTTTCGGTCTCTCAAATTCCTGAAATCTATTGTTCTCACTGAAGTAAATCAACTTTACATTTGTTTCTGCTTTCGTATTCCTGCTTATTTACTTACATTTAAATTCTTAGTGCGTTCAAAGATCAAACGTTAAATAACTAAACATTCTTTCTGATCCAGAAAAGTTGATTAATTCAAATGAGGAACAAAAATACTTCTTGGAAACTGATGACATTCATAATGGCAAAAGAGATCGAAGATTCGATCTCTAGTGATAATTCCTTTCTCATAACTCGTGCATTTGACTAGAAAATAAATTGTACTGATCTATACGAAGCAACGAATATCAAAAAAGAGGAAATCTAAAATTGACCAACAAAAATGCTGACGCATAATTTGTCAGAGTGAGCAGCTTCTGGCTTGAGGAATGTACTAATTACCGGGAGAGTGTTTGCTCGCAGATAAATAACTGTGGAAAGGAGAGGTAAGGTATTTCAAGTTCTACAAAAATTGGAAACGAAGGAACGAACAGTCGGTGAAGAAAAGGTTGCAAAACCTTATTCCACAGTAACTTCTATCGAAATACGACATACAAGTAAGTGTATTGTGGCAGGAATTGTCGATTGTTGTTCCTCTGTCTTTATTTTTTTCGACCCATAGTCGGAATAAGAATGAACTGAAGTTGATGATGGTTGGATTAGTCATGAATGTTATGCCAACTGTGAATAATGCTGCACACAGGAATTATATATTTTTGGCTGAAATGAATATGCGCAATTCACATATCATTGACATATGACAAAATTTCATTCATCTATTCTTACTTACTGTTTATTTCCTGAGCAATGGTTGAAATTATTCCGGTCATCAACAAATTTCACCTTTTCATATCCTTTTTGCAGAAAAGTAGTGATTCGTTTTTCATTTAGTTCATTCATCGCTTTTCTTTGCTAACGACAATGGCTCAGCCAAACATAAAAAAGTCTTCAGCTCAGCAACCAGGCCCAAGTCAACAAACAGCTTGTCTACTCAGTAAGACATTATGCTTAGATCTTGTTGATAGTGTTTTGCCAATTCAAATTTCACTAAAATTCTCAATCAAAAAAAAAAGTGCAAATGAAATGAAAATGAAAGAAAAAACACGTTTATTGTAATTTTGATTTAGTCGAACATTTTTTAAAAAAAATCCTGGTTTTTAGAAAAGGAAAGTCTTAGGATTTAGGAAATCGTTAGTTTTCAAAAGAAATCTGTTTTTTTATTTTTTTCACCTCTTTATTTCTTCCTTCGCATCAAATGTGCGTCATTAACGAGAAGACATAACAATTAGACTTCATCGCAATAATTATTTGAATGAAATATTCGGCATGTTTCTTAAAATGTTTGTATATGAGCCCGTCCATCCATTATTTAATCTCTTTTCGGAAAACAAAAGCCCAGTTTGAAGACATTGAAAATTACTTAATTTGTTATAAATGCAAGATGACATCTCTTCGCAGAGTTATAAATGATTTATAAACTTGTATCATTCATTATTGTCTATTTCACCTTTCTCTTTCCTCTTTAATGATCTCGTCAAATCAGTTGGCAATGGTTATCCTTTTTCTGTTTAACAACTAGTCTGATAACTTACGGTCATTTGTAATCGTGGCAGGAACAAGACATTAAGTTTACTCATGTCATTAGGACCATCAGTTGAGTAGACTCATCTTCCGATATCAACAAATATTTCCCTCGACTGGAACGTGGCCGAGACGCACGTAAACCATATTGCAATGGTACCAGTTGTACACCGCCAATCATATTTGCAGGAATCTTGGATTGCTTATTATGCTGCCATTTGCTATTATCAAATATTTGATTGCTTTAACGATAGTGTAAGTTAAAGTACTTGTTGTTATCATATCATTCATTCTGTCTACATACCTGTTAATGTATTCTTTCAGTTTTAGTGCAGTATTATCTATTGAAACGGATGCACAGGCGGTGGCTTTTAATCCTACTGTGTTCACGAGCAACATGCAAGTAGGCGGCAACGTAAGCTTCGCACCTCTTATTAGTTTCAAACCCGGAAATGTCATATATTATATTGACATATTAAGCATCAGTGTTCATTTAAGCATCGACATTCCTAGTAAGAGTTTATTTTAAATTTTAGAGAGTGCTTTTCAATGGCAACGCTGCACAGATGGTCTTTGATGATGGAAGTGATCAGAGTAGAAATCAACCTGCCCAACCTGCTCAACCTGCCCAACCTGCCCAACCTTCTCAAACTTCTTCTAGTTCAGATTTACTTGGAACTTTTTTACTAGCTTCATTACTGGGCTCAACTTATGGTAGAGGCTTCTCAAATTCTTCTCCATATGGTTATTCTTATCCATACTCCGGTTACTCTCCTTATTACTACGGTTACCTTCCCTATTACTACTATTATTATGGATAATTTTTCACTTTCTTCAAATGCCTTTATATCATCGTGCAGACTTTAAACTTTAAAAATTGTGCAAAGCTTTGTTTGGTGTTTTGTTCTACATGAATCTATTAAATAGATTGTAAATTAAATCAATGTTAAAAATATATCAAAAACCTGCGCAATACAAGTTGTCAAAGTCATCTACGACTCCATCATAATTTATAGTACCTATAGTGATCGACAACTCATGGATTGAAAAGAACAAATGAATAGAGTAATAATTAGTTAATTTCGATATCAACCACTCGTTGAATTATTGAAATGTTGTACTGAATAAGGAATTAAGGAGCAACAAGTTTCTGAAGTATAATAATTCTAAACTCGCATCTTCAGAATTGCTTCAAACTTTTTACTAAAAAGGCTAAACGTATAGGACAGTACGTATTAAAACCAGAATAAAATTTTGGAACGATGTGTAAATTGCATACATATCGGTTGTTTTTTTTTTTT